CGATTGGGGGTCCGTGCCCCGCCCTCCTGCGCCCCTCTGCCCATCCGCTCCTCCCTCCCGCCTCTTTGCCTTTATCCGCCCTACCGGGTCGCACCGTCCTCTCTCCTCTTTCTCTCGCTCTCCATCTCTCCCCACCCCTCTCCCCGCGCCTTTCTTCCTCCCTCCGGGGGCGGAGCTTCTCTCCTCCCTCCAGAACAATGCGGTAGCTGCGCGTCCCCTTTCGGCCCAAGGGTCCCCGCGCCCGCTGCCAGCGCTTTTTCTGGGCCGGGAAGGCGAGGAGGGCAGGAGCAAAGCGGGGGTGGGGTGAGAGTTGTCGCCTCTCGTCCCGGCTACCGTCCTCTCCGAGCTCCGCTCGGCTGGCGCTGTGACAGCCACTCCCAGGGAGCAATCTCGCTGCCCAGCGAGCCCACCTAGAGCTCGCGGATTCCCCGGGAGAGCGTATATGGGCTTGAGGGGTTCGCCCCCACATTCCCAAAAGGGTTTGGGCTGAGCAGCGGCCAAGCGGGCGCTTCCATTTCTCAGGCTGAAGGACGTGACAGCAATGTGAAGGAGGCCAAGTTTCTTTGTCTCTCTGTCTCTCTCTCTCTGTCTCTCTCTGTCTCTGTCTCTCTCTCTCTGTCTCTGTCTGTCTGTCTGTCTGTCTCTCTCTCTCTCTCTCTCTCTCTGTCTCTCTCACGCGCACACACACACACACACACACACACACACACACACACACACCCCAGCTTCGCATCCAGCCCTGGACCTCCGGAGTCCTCCAGTGCGCCGGTGGGGTGGGGTGGAGCAGCCTGTTAATGCCCTGCCAGTCCCTGAGACACAGCCCGACCAGCTCATCCGCCTGGAAGCCAAACATTCTTTACCAAATTCATTGTTTGGATCTTGGAATGTGTCTCCCTTAGAAACAATGTTACAGTTGGGGATCTGCTTCCCAGGCTAGCCACCCAGTCTGTTGAACCCAATCTGCAGCTGTAGGGTGGTGTTGAGAACTGTTAGCTATCTGAACAAGGAAGCCACTGATAAATAATTTGGTTCTTTCCTCTTAAGATAGAACCACAAAGGTCTCCCATAAATTTCTCCCTTCCAAGCCACTGCTCTGTATCCCTTAAACTTTTGCCCAGAGGAGGTAAATAGAACACCCTGGAGACCCGGATGTTTCCCCCCTATCCCCTGGGGGGCGCTGACCATCAGGGAGAGCTAAGGGGGAATCCCATTTAGAGCCTGCAGGGCCTTTAGCACCCCAGGAAGCCTTCTCTGAGAGGCTGTCTTCTCTAGATAGGCCTTCCCTGGCCCCCACACACTCTGCAAAGTGGGCCTTGAGCTCTGTTCCTGGGGTTTAGAGTACTGCTGTTCAAGAGGACAGCCAGCTACTGTTGTATTAGAGTCCCTGAATTCGCCCCAGGCTCCCAGAGAGCAGCGCAGTGGCTTAAGTCAGTGCCCATGCTATGACCATCCTCCGCAGCCAAAAGTGGCCCTCACTGTCCAAACTGGGATGCTGGGAACACTGATCCTAGATCTGGTTTAAAACCAGACTCAGTTCTCTCTACTTATATTTTCCATCTTGGTGAAAACACTGATGGACGGATGGACGGATGAATGGATGGATTCAAGACATTGGAAGACATCTTTCTGTTCGTTTGCTTCTTCATGTAGAAGCCATAGGAGAGAAAGACACCCCTCGTCCTTCAAGGCAGGATAGGAACAGTACATCCGAGATGGAGATAATACTTGCAAATATTTAACACATGTATTAAAGTCCACTTTAAACTGTGTTTTCTAGCAGGCTTCCACCTTCAGGGACTGAACAGGGCAACTCAGCCAGGGAAGCAGTCTGGTGAACACTGGCTAAAAGTACTGCAATAACAAAAATAACAAAGCCAGGCACACCTGTAGTGTACAACTGTAGTCCTAGCTATTTGGGAGGCTGAGGCAGGATGGTCATTTGAGCCAGAAGTTTGAAACCAGCCTGAGCAACACACAAGACCACATCTCAATCCATCCACCCATCCATCCATCCATCAATCAAAACGAAGGCCTGCAGGCCTAATTCAGTAGTAGAGCTCTTGCCTAACATTCAGAAAACCCTGGGTTTTTTCCCAGCACTGCAAAAATCAAAATCACCCCAGCAAAAAAAAAACAACAAAAAAAAAACCGCATATGAGAGCCACAGGTACAACTTTAAACTTTCTGGGAGCCACAATAAAAATGACAAACAGAAATAGGTGAAATTAATTTTAATAATCTTTATTTAACTCAGTCTATCAAAAATATTATCCTTTCAACATGGAATCAATATGAAGGAATCATTCATGAGATATTTTAATTATGTTTTCATACAGAGGTTAAAAGCTATTGTATAATTTTCCCTTCTGCACCTCAACTCAGACAATAAATTTTCATCGAAATACTTGAACTGTAGTTAGGTTTTATAAAACTTCTAGTTGAAAAAGCAGATTCACGTGTCAGTTATTCCAAACATACTTTAAAGTTTCCCAGTAGCTGAATCAAGTATTGGTATATACATTTAAAAATATATTTTAGGGTATTTTATTAGTACACGCTTGCAGTACATAATCATACTCATCACGGGGATCTGTACATATACCTAACACATCGTTATTCTTTTTTTGTCACCTTCCTCTCCCCACTTCCAAAAACTCTATTTCCATTTTTTCCTTCAATCTTTTTTTCCTTTAAATCACTTTTCCCTTCCTTTCTTTCCCCTCCCCCTCTCTCTTGCTCCCTCTCCCATTTGAACAAGTTCTTCCTACTTCTTAATATCTGTTCTCCATTTGCTCCTTATTTATACTGGGTTTCTCACACAAGAGAAACCATGTGATATTTAAACTTGTGTCTCTGTTTGTTTCACTTGAGATTATGGTCTAGAGGTGCATCCATTTACCTAAATGGCACAGTAGCAGGACATACTCTTTTTTTTTTAACAGAGCTCCACCCCTCAACCCTTTTCCCCCGCCTAAATCTTGAGACATGGTCTTGCTAAGTCACTGCATTCTCCAAGGTGGACTTGAACTTGCATTCCTTCTGCCGCAACCTCTCAGAGTGCTGGGATTATAGGTGTGTGTCACCATGCCCAGCTGTGGATTTTATTGTTAGTTATGAATAAATTTAAACGCGCCTTTGTCAGGGGCACCAACCGCATTTCAAGTTCTCAACAGCCACACTTACAGTGGCTTCCTGAGTGGGTCAGCACAGAGCCAGAGAGCAAGAGGCTGCGGATGAACTTGATGTACCAAAGCTGACTTTCTTCTTCTCTGGCAAAACAGTGTCAGCTGTGGATTTTATTGTTAGTTATGAATAAATTTAAACGCGCCTTTGTCAGGGGCACCAACCGCATTTCAAGTTCTCAACAGCCACACTTACAGTGGCTTCCTGAGTGGGTCAGCACAGAGCCAGAGAGCAAGAGGCTGCGGATGAACTTGATGTACCAAAGCTGACTTTCTTCTTCTCTGGAGCAAAACAGTGAGGGGAACGTGGAGCGTGGCTAGGGAAACAACGCAACTCCTTTAGCTGCCATTGTAACATGTGGAGAATAGGCCTGGCTTTAGGGTAACAGGCCGGCTGTGTGCCTGGGGAGAAGACATGCAGAGGAGAACCAGGTCGCCCAAGGCCACTCTTCTGTCAGGAACTAATGGATTCCAGAAGAGGAAGGAAGTGGTGCAGCGACAGGAAGTCAGGTGCTGCATCTCCCCTTTGATTCTTTGCGTTTTGACCTTTAACTCTGGAAAGGAGGTTCCTTGATAGATTAAGGGGAGCTCTGGGGATAGAATCAAAGACTACCACACTGGCTGCCAACATCCTCTCCCCTGCTCTGCGGTACTAACTTAGGGAAGGGGTAGCCTCATTCAAGTCAACTTAGTGGTCATCATGATTGTACAGAGAGAGGCCTGGGGTCACCCACAATCTTTACATATTATGGACACAGAGCACAGCTGAATCATGAGCCTCACTTTTCATGGGGCCTGGCGCAGAGCTCTCTCAGAAGCAGAACCCAGAAGAATGACCCAGAAAGCAGGAATGAGGGACAGAATAGGAGTGGAAGATAAGGGTGCATTAATGGGTGGGTTACTGGGCAACTGGAGCTCAATTCCTTGGGGGGCCCTCTGAGGAGCTGCATAACATATGCCTCAGGGGCTGGGGATTTAGCTCAATGGTTCTGCCGCCTGCCTCGCAAGTGCAAGGTCCTGAGTTCAATCCCCAGTACCAAAAACAAACAAACAAACCGAAACATGCCTCGGCATTGTCTATTCTGAAGTTCAGGGGACTGGGACATTTATTGGCGGACTCTTCTTGTTCCCTACTACTTCAGGATTGCTCCTGGGCGAGCTAACCTCCTCTCACTTCCTGGTATGTGTGGACTACTTTGGCCTCCAAAAATATCTGGAGTGGAAAAGCAGAAGCCACTGCCATTGTCCCTTGTGGGGGAAGGGACAAATCCCTGTTCATAGAGCTGTCCGCCACAGCTACGTGGGATGAGAAGGTGCCAGGGGTCGTGACACAACACACACAGATCATCTGCTCTGGGGCCCTGAAGGGAGGGGGAGAGGGCCCTGGAGCCTGGGTCTGGGGGGCCTCAAAGGCAGAGGCCTGATGGAGCCCCCAGCCCATGAGTTACACAGGCTGCGGACATCAGCAGGAGCTGCCAGCCAAGCACTCAGCGACGCGGCCATCACTCCTCTGCATGCTGCTCTGGAGGGGCGGCCCTAGCAAGCCCTTCAGGAGACCTGGGAACCTCCAGAGGCCCCTGGTGAGTCTGAGAGGAAGTCCCACGTGCCACCACTGGCGGAAGTAAGACACAGCTTCTCCCATGGTTCCATCTTGGAGAGAGGTGGGAAGGAAGGCAGTACTCAGAGTTTTTACCTAAGGAGACTCAGGGGACTGTTTGACTTATTGCATCAGCCTGCATTTCCCAGGTGGATATTGTTATTGGAACCCTGGGGCCATGGCCGATGGTGATGAAGAATGAAACCACAGACTAAGGAGGTAGGGTGCTAGCAAATTTATTTAAAAGACACACGCCAGGCACACCTGTAGTCCCAGCAACTGGGAGGCAGAAGCAGAAGGATTGCCAGGAATTCAAGGCCAGCCTCGACTACGTAGCAAGACCC